AAGACATACAAAATTAGAAATGTTCTAGCTGTATGTGCACTTAGCTTGACATTTCACTCCTTGATGGTAGAATTAATGTAGAAACATCTTTCTAAAGCATCTCTTTTATTTAAGTGCACTAGATATTTGCACATCTTAAAGGTTGACAGGATTGAATTAATAATCAGTACTATGCCAGCTATTCATGATGCTAATTTGAATTTTGACATAGCACCTCTTCCAGAATAATTCTGGTTTATTTGCATTCTTGTTTCCATCATCTCTTGGTGAGGTACAAGTTACATAGAACATGTACTTAAAATAAGTTAACTCACTCATTCATCCATTCAATAAATGTTTAGTGAGTGACTACTGTGTGCCCAGCATAGAACTCGGTGCTTGGTATACAAAAATAAATAAAAGCCATAGCTCTTTTATTCTTTCATGGCACTTACATAAATAAATAGTTTCACTTATTAGAAGGTAATAAATACTACAGGGAAAAGAATAGACATGGTGAGAAAGATGGGGCAAGGACAGGCAAGTCGTAGCAAGTGACCAAAGGATAAGAAGTAGAATGAGTGAGGGGTAAAGTAGTAGGAAGATATTGAGCTTGAGATTGTGTAGGTCACTGAAAAACACTTTGGCTTTCACTTTGAATGCAATAGGGTTCTGAGAAGTCATATGATCTGAGTTCTATTTTAAAGAATCACTCTGGCCATTATGCTATCAATAGATGACTGGGGGCAAGAATGTGAGCAAAGGCTTTGTTGGACAGCACGGTAGGAATCTAGGCCAGAGATGATGGTGGGAGCTGTGGGGAAGTGGGGAGTGATCAACTCTTGTTGTACATACTGTAAGATAAAGCAAGTCTGGACCCATCTGGTAGTATGAAACCCAAGCTCTCCAGCTGTGGAAGTTAAACCTTCCAAGACCTCTCCCAAAACATGTGTTACTCATACCTTCTTCATGTTACAACTGTACTCTGGCAACCAACATGCCTAAGCCTCAGGAACCATGATGCTCTGAGGGAAAATGAGATCTCTATTTACACTGGAATAAGGTCCAGCTCCTGAGAGACTGTTTTTTTGTCCCAGGAGCTGTCTGTTCCACAATAGAGATCCCTGCTTTCAAACTCACATGGAACCATTGGAGGGGATGCAATGTTCAAATTCAGTGCATTTCTCAAAGGCTTGTTTTTCAGTCTTAAATCATTCTACATGTAGAATGTGTCAGTGTGGAATAGACTGGTTTTTGTCTGTGTCTAAACTCATTCATTTTCATAGAGGCCTCTCTTCCAGATTCTGGGGAAAACAAATACTAGATACGTTTTCTGTAATCCTGAGGGTATCATTTTCTCTCTCTTTATAACTGCTGAAAAAGAGCCCACCTCTCCCTAGGAGCAAGCAATAACATACAGGTATAGGACAATTTAAATACATGTAAAGGAAGAGACACCTTCCAAAGAGACTACAGTCTGTAGAAATACAGTTTTATTACAATTTATATCCAGTTTATATTACCAGAAAAATATTTAATTCTTCAGTCACTTCATTCAAGTCACTCTAGAGTTTTCCCCAAATATAGGTTGTTACTGGTTTTATACTTGTATAACTCAAAAGTGCTATTATTGAAGGCTTATACAACCAAGGGATAAAGATGAACCTGGTAGCTAATTACTGAGAAAAAAGACGAAGAGAGTGAGAGAGAAGGATTCTAGTGAAGTTCTGAAATTAGCCATTATTTAGGCTTGGGTCTGATTGAAGAAGCATGCTCTTGACAGAGAATGAACAATTCTGGATATCCTGTTATACTTGAGTAGTTTGTATGTCCAGTCTCTCATAACACTCCAAACAGCTCTGTGAGTTAAGATCATTGTCTCCATTTCTCAGGAGAGAGAGCAGGATCGGAGAGGTTAGGTAATTTCCTCAAGTTCACAAAACTAAGTACCTGGTAAAGATGGACTTTGTACTTAAATCTCTGTGATTCCACAATTTATGTTCTGTCTACCATACCATGTGATTTCTTCTAAGCAGGCAGTTAGGATTGAAGAAATTTAAATTGTGCTTGGTAAGCAAAAAGGCAAGTTAGTGTAACACCAGCAGCCAACACCATAATTTCAAAAGAAGGATCTTTGTTATCAATTTGAATATAAGAACTTTTGTATGGCTAAAGCAGGAAAAACTATAATAAAACATGAAATTCTTCTTTCACTTGCCTCGGTGAAGGAGTCATTTAAATGCCTATGCTTTTTATGCTTTAGAAAGATTTTCTTGATTCTATCACTCCTACACAGAAACCTTTCTTTTCTTTTTTTTTTTATTAAATTCAATTTAGTTAACATATAGTGTAGTACTAGTTTCAGGGGTAGAATTTAGTATTTCATCAGTTGCATATAACACCCAGTGCTCATTCCATCAAGTGCCCTCCTTAATGCCCATCATCCAATTACTCCATCTCCCCACCCACCTCCCCTCCAGCAACCCTCCGTTTGTTCCCTATAGTTAAGAGTCTCTTTTGATTTGCCTCCCTTTCTATTTTTATCTTATTATATTTTTCCTTCCCTTCCCCAATGTTCATCTGTTTTGTTTCTTCAATTCCACATGTGAGTGAAATCATATGGTATTTATCTTTCTCTGACTGATTTATTTCACTTAGCCTAATACCCTCCAGTTCCATCCATGTCATTGCAAATGGCAAGATTTCATTCTTTCTGATGGCTGGGTAGTATTCCATTATATATATATATATATATATACCACATCTTCTTTATCCATTCGTCTTTTGATGGACATCTGGGCTCTTTCCATAGTTTGGCTATTGTGGACATTGCTACTATAAACATTGGGGTGCACATGCCCCTTCAAATCACTATTTTTGTATCCTTTGGATAAATACCTAGTGGCTGCACAGAAACCTACAACCAAGTCTGTAATAGTTGCTAAAAAGAAGCCAGAGATAACATTATAATTGTTCTCCTTTTCCTTTAGAGCTAGGTAAAAAACAAATAGTTGTTTAAATGAATTAATCTCATTTTTAAAAATTCTACCCGTTATTTTCTCAATCATAGCTAATGTGTGTGACCTTGGTCTAAATTCAAAGGCCTGTTGATATTTAACACATACTATGTCTTCTTCTGTCATTGTCAATTTTATTCCCACATTCTTTACCTGTAATTTAAAACAAACATATTTGAAGTAGGAAAGCTCTCTGGAAATTATACTTTTGTGAAAGCATCTTTTGCTATTTTTCCCATGACGATTTGCAAAATAGAGGTACCTCAATAAACTATCAGGAAGAAAATAACCCATGGTCCAAAATTTTGAAAATTTAGTTTACTTTTCTCACCTTCTTGGATATTTTTAGCAAGTATACACATATTAAAGTGTCTCATAAGTCCTCTAGTGAGAAACTGAAAATTTTTTGACCATGGAATATCTTGCCTCTTTTTTCATAGTACTCCGTGGAATAAACTTTAGCAAATGCTGGTCTGTGGAAGTGCCTGTCCTATGGCAATCATGCCCTCTATATCTGAGTATCAGCCAGATGATTGCCCCATGGTTTTCTAATAATACTGTTCTAAAATATTGGTGATACAAATTTGAAATATTGCTCTGGCAAATTTATGAAATGAGCCACACCTAAAATATAGGGCTTTATGAATGTATGGATATAAAACTGTACAATTTAATTATAAAATGCATGTGATTTTAAATTAAAATGATAAATTTCTTCCATACTTTTGAGTTTTTTTTTAAAGATTTTATTTATTTATTTGACAGAGAGAGACACAGCAAGAGAGGGAACACAAGCAGGGGGAGTGGGAGAGGGAGAAGCGGGCTTCCCGCTGAGCAGGGAGCCCGATATGGGGCTCGATCCCAGGACCCTGGGATCATGACCAGAGCTGAAGGCAGACCCTTAATGACTGAGCCACCCAGGCGCCCCCTTTTGAGCTTTTAAGATGGTTATGTTTCTTGAGAAGTTCCATCTAGCTGAAATTTAAATGAACAATGCCAACCAAATGCAGTCCAGCTGTGTCTAACCTGGCAAGTCTGCCTAAGTGGAAGCAAACCACAGTTGTTCCTTTATGTATGTTCAGCATCTCTAATCACTTGAAGGATAAGCTCTGTGGAATTCACTGCTAAAATAGTCACGAACAACCTCCTTGCTGTGTGGGCCTCAGATAGTACAGGAACTTGAGAAAATAATTGTCTAGGCTTTGGAAAAAATAGAATATGACCATGATTGGTATGTAATGCCAAACTAGTCAATTATTTAGTTACCTATTTTAGACTAGTGGGCCACATCTAAGAATCCTAATAATTATCTGGTTCAAAAATTCAGCTGATTCTCTGTTAGTAATATGAACAAAATATTCAGAACAATGGAATCCAATTCTGGGAATTCTTAAGAACTAGAATTTTGTTAAAAGCCCCTTAAATAATTTTGATGCACACTTAACTCTGTTTAAAAACCTTTTGTGTGGATCAAAGACACTTAAATTCTTCTGGACTAAAAGGTTAAAGTAAGTGTGCAAATTTGACAGCTCTGTAAGGTCAAGGACCTGTATGATTTATACTCCATTTTTTCCCAGGATTTTCATAGGACCTAGCAGGTAGTGATTACTCAATAAAATATGCTAGAAGAATAAGTGAATGAATCAATGAGTGACTAGTGGCAACTGTCAGTGTTTTCTGTTCCCTCTGAGCAGGATCATGATAAAGTTTCCAACAAGAATGACTTCAGATTCCTAACTGGTTCATGATTTTTCTGGTTGGGTATTCTGGATCTTGATAACAATCAATATAAGAAAAATTATTCTTATATTCAACGGCATTGTTACATTTTTATGAAGGTATTTCTGTATTAAGAATTTTTATTCATATAAATCCCCCTTAAATCAGTGACAATGATTTATGTGGAGACAAGGTAACAGTGTTTTTTCTTTTCAAATCAAATTGTGACACAATATCATCAGCTCTGATTCTAAATAATGGTGACTGCCTTTCTGTCCTTCGCAGCCAGCTGTCGCAAACCCTGATATCATGTTTATTAAAATTCATATTCCATGGGACACACTGTGCAAGTATGCGGAAAGGCTAAATATCAGGATGCCCTTCAGGTACTTTCAAATTTTACTTCATTCTATCTCAATGTATATTAAGATGAGTGTTTTTTGCAAAACTTTAGAGCAACAAATGTAACTCTACAGAGCTTTTTCTTCCAAATGTTAGAATATCTTGGACACTTTTTTTCCCTTCTAATGTTTGTCAAATGTGATAAAACTTATGGTCCCTTGGATGTTTGATAGCATTTCTAGGTGGACTGGCCTAGAGGGAGGGAAAAATGGTTGTTTTCAGAATTTAACTTATAGTTTCCAAGATCAGTCTCAGTTCTTACTTCGTATGGGTGGGTAAAAACTCTTACTGTTTTTGTGGAAGGCAGGTAGTGTGTGTAGCATCCATTTGTAAACAAATAGAGTGTTTCTCTTGGTATAGCAGTTAGCAAGAATCATTGCTTGCAGTTCAACTGCATAATCTCTTAGTTCTGTCCTCAGTCCCAGAGGATACTTGGGAACAGGAGGCCTGCTCCATTCAAAGATTTTTCCATTCTTCCTCCAGGCAAACGAAGTTTGAATAGACCTGAGCTTCCCCATATTACGTATCTTGTGTTATATGCAGAGTGTATCACCTCGTCCATGTGAAATTCAATAATGTTCCCACTATGTGCAAAAATATTATGCTTCTTTAGAGCTCAATGTGCTTCATCAGCAGATAAGAGGGCTTAAAAAGAGTAACAAGATACCAAGTAAAAGAGCCTCTAGATAATGAATATGAGTGAACAGTAAGAGTACAATTCAAAAATACAGAGAAACATCTCAGACCGGGTAGCGTGGAGGAGGCCAATTCTAGTAAGAGTGCTGACAAGTCTTATGGTTCCTGGGCTTTCAAAATAAAATATGAGATAATGGTCCCATCTTTTTAGTCATTTGAAACACCTCAGGCTTTGAAAGATGTAAACACAGCCATTGTCCACAAAACAGAAATTGATAAAACATTGGCAACTACTGAGGAATCTTACTGACAATATTAGGATTGGGTACCTAATTGGTTCATATTCAAACTTAGCTAAGAGTTTAAAAATTCTCTTTAAAAATTATATTTAAGAGATAAGCAAATAATACCTCAAAAAGCTTGGCAAAGAATAATAATAATAACAAACTGTAAAGCAAAAGAGGATAAGGGAAAGAAAAGTCTAATTTCTACAGCACCTTATACAAATGATAGTTACCTAAGAGAACCTGAAGTCTGTACGTTTCTATAAAAGTTGGTTCCTGAAAGAAGCCAATAAGGGCCTATGAGATGTTATTTGTGTTATGATCAGCTAGTGTGAGGTCTGCAAAGGACTGCTTTCAGTTCAAGTCATTGTACTGAACTAATCTGGAGAGACAGCTTGGTAAGCATATACTTCTACTATGCTACGTTTCTCAACTTCTGAGGAATTCTTCTCTTTTGACACTATGTCACTTTCTAAAAAGTCTTGAAATACTTGCCTGGGACTTATTACAAGTTGATAATGGGAGAATATTTGCCATTTGCTCTATCTGATTTCTTCTTGTTTGGTTTGTACATATTCGTGCTACATAAAATCATGCAGAATTAAAACAATGTGATATATTTTAACCTAGGAAATTAGTAAAGAACTTTACAAATAGTTACATTCAAACATTGCACAGATATGGTAAATAATCAGATTTGTTTATTTATGGTTCAAGTTAAACTTCATAAAATATTCTGAAACTCAACTTGAAAATATTTTTTGTGAGCCTTAAAACTTTTTATACTCTCCATTTTTTACCTTAAGAAGATAAGAGAAAAATGTGTAAAAACATTCCCTGAAGTATTATTTACAATCGTGGAAAATGGAAATATCTTCTATATTCGACGGTAGAGGAGTAAATTAGAATACACTCTTGCAATGGAATATAATTCCATTTACAAAATGAATGGGTATAGGATTTCTTAACAATTGTAGTAAATAATAAAATTTAAATTTTATATACATTATAGTATTTAAATTTTATATACATTATGATTATAATTACTCACACAATGTAATTCCAACAATATAAAACTCATAGAAATGAAATAGAAAGAAAATATAAGAAATATATTCATTATATATTAATTATATATCATATAAATAATTGACATATTAATTAATATATTATAATTAATATATTTACTATTATATATTATTATATATTAATTATTGTATATTACTGTAATAAAATATACTATGCTAAAAATGACTCCTGATAGGTGAGATTGTGGGTACCTGTTATTTTGTTTATATTGCAAAATTATCTACTTTTAACAAATTCAAATTTGACTACACAATGTAAACATAGGATGAAAAGTATGACACTCAAGATGATGACCTGCTTTCTGATATCAGGATGAAATTGCTAAAAAATTTCTAAATTAATCTTAACTAAATCAGGTGCCCTTATCTACCCCTTGTCCTGTGATTTCAACATTGTGTCTAAAAAGAGTTGTAATTGAATTCATGCACAAAGTAATTTCCTTGTAGATCTAAAAGGAGAAAACCCTTAGAGTCTATCACAGTGTCCCATTTCTGTCGGTTTCAGCATTCAGGTTGAGTTCAGACCGAGTGAACATTGTGTCAAAACATCTCATCAGAAAGACTGCATATGTCCCCCTAACCTCCTCTGGACTTTATACAAAACAGATGTTAGCCAGGAGTCCAGAAGATTTTGTTCCTTTTGTGCTGCACAAGGAGGGATTTGACACAATTTGACCTAGATCCCAGCAAAGACTCTCGTTCTTAAGGCTGCAGTTATACTTGCACACAGAGAAAGAATAAGTTATGAATACAATGTCACTTAACATGTTTGCTTTACTCCAAGTACTGGACATTCAAAATTCAAAGATTTTTTTATCAATTCACTTTCCAAATATGTTCATTCTGCCGTAGTCTACAGGGAAAAAAAATCTTATGAAGACAATGGCAACACAGTTTACACTGTCATACTTTTCATATAACTCTTTTCACCATAATGTCGGATTTTACTAATTTTTAAAAATTGCAAGTCTGTTTGGAGAACATTGACCTCCTCTCTGTCCTTGACCTGACTCTTACCTTTTCAGATGAATTTTGAGAAACTCAATGATAGAATAATCAGTACTCTCATAACTTTAATTTTTAAAGACTCTATACTGAATTTAATTCCTTTTGTTGTTTTTCTTAGAAGTTCCCTAAAAAACAGTTCCCTTACCAGATTGTGAGTGTCCTCAGTTGGTATGAATTAGAGCTTAGATCTCCAGGCTGTGTACCATGGTGTCTTGACCTATGGTAGCTTTTGAAGAAGCTGTTCTCTTCAGAGAGATTTTTTTTTTCTTTTCTAAAATGATACTCATTTTTAAAAATTTTCCTGGTACTATTGCATTTGAAAGGAGAGTGCTGATACATCTAAAGAAAGAACTATGAAAACCTTGAAATGTATGCAGTTACTATCTCTTCTTGATATTGTGGCCAAAATTTCTTCTTTTTTAAAAAAAAAAGATTTTATTTATTCGTTTGGGAGAGAGAGAGATAGGCAGAGAGAGAGCATGAGCTGGAGAGAGGGGCAGAGGCAGAGGGAGAAGCAGACTTCCTGCTAAGTTGGGAGCCTGATGTGGGGCTCGATCCCAGGACCCTGGGATCATGACCTGAGCCAAAGGCAGACACTTAACCATCTGAGCCACCCAGGTGCCCCCGAAATTTCTTCTTTATAAGATGTTTTTTTAATTTTATTTAAGATTTATTTATTTGAGAGAGAGCGCGTGTGAGCGCATGAGCGGGCAAGGGACAGAGGGAGAGGGAGAGAGAATCCTCAAGCAGACTCCTGGCTGAGTGCAGAGCCTGATGTGGGGCTTGATTCCAAGACCCTGAGATCATGAGCTGAGCTGAAACCAAAAGTGAGACATTTAACCAACTGCACCACTGAGGCGCCCCCTTATAACATGTTTTTTTAAACAATGTTTACAACTGCTGCATTACTAAAACTTATGGAAAATGCCATTGAAATTCTCATGATTTAATAACATAAATATTAGAAAATATGTAACATTTTTCAAAATGTATCAAAGGAATACTAGTTCCAGGTTCTTAAGAGAAAAATATCCTGTGAGCAAATATGTTTCTGAATTTCTGAGTTAAACAGTAAGTTTATTTACTGTAGGTATTTTTAGAGAAGTGGTTCTCATTCTGCCTTTAGAGTGCATTACAGTTACCTGGGACACTTAGTAAACATGAGGTTCCTAGAGCCCTCCCCCCCGGAGATTATGGCATACTAATTCTAGAACAGAAGGTATATATATTTTTAACAAGCATCCCACAGGATTCTGATGCAGATCGTAAAGAAATATTGTCTTAGCAATTTTAATATTTTAATAATTCTGACCATTTTTATACATTTCAAGAGTTGGTTATAGAAAGCACCCTTTCCATTTGATGATGGGATTTTTTTTTAAATCTTAATATGTAGGTGTTCTTGGGAAAACAGTTTGACAAATACTGAAACAGAGTTTTCTTGGAACATTTTCCTGATCAGTTTAAATAATAGATGTAACATTAACTCCTTAGTAACTAACTTCTCATTTATTTATAAGGTACACATGGAATTTGGCATAGCCATTGCCTCATAAAAAGAGAATGCTATACAAGCATAAACTGAGTGGCAAAGTGTTTTTATGATGGCCGATTCAGTTTCCAATTGTCAACTGTTATCACATTTAAGAACATATATCCTGCCTTAAAATTAAAATATACAATAACAAAGAACTTAAATAGGAAAAAAACACGTATCTCTTTTTAGGGCAAGACTTTTTAAAAGATTTATGCATAAAAAAGCTTACACATGCTTGGCTATGCCACATATGTATTCAGCATTGAAACCTACACATTATATTTCACAAAGAAAAACTGCAAATTTATTCAGAAAAAATTATTAGTTATAACCCTGCCATACAATAAGGAGAAATCATTGTATGAACATGAATCTTGAGCATTTTATCTAAATTCTCTGCTTAAATGTATGTGTAGAACTTTATACACCTAAATTTTCTAGCATTCCCTTTTATGATTATTATTCCAAAGTAAATATGGCCTGCATATTAGACTTGATGTTTCAAAAACTACCCAAGAAAATTTCAGAGGATGAAAATAGTTCAAATTTTCTTATTTTTCTCCTATCAGCAAGGACTTAGCCTGTGTCTTTCACATTCCAGAAATATTAAGTTCTGCTTTCATTATTTTTCTTTTGATTCAAAGGTGGTTCCTATTCATTCTTACCCCTTTCACAATAAAAGAGTCAAACATATTTTAAGATGATTCAGTCATCCCCTCGCTTCTCAGCTTGAGTTCCTTAATGGGATTCATAATCTTCTCCCACAAATATTTTAAACATAGCAGATTGGGGGGGATAGATTTTTAAACCATTAAGAACAATCTTTTTATCACAATTGGGATTAAACTTAGATCACTTTTTTATGCAAAGGACACTTCACTCAAAAATAAAATAACGTAGAAACAGGCGTCCCGACATATGAAATAGGTAAGAGTGGAGCAGTTCTTCCTGACAAGGTGGGGACCCAGGGTTCCACACATGTGACTACCCATCTCCCTTGGCCCTGCAGGCATCTCCACTTGTGACCACATGGCTATGTGAAACACTGGTTTGGAAACAGTGGTTCACATCTTTATTTACTTACAGTTTTGAGTGGTTGTTGTAAATAGGTGGGTAGGGAGATAGGGAGATAGATGTTGCCTTGATGCAAGGTGTAAAATCATAGTATCTTTCAAATGAAAAATTAGGGGAAATATCATCACAGGCAGTTTGCTAAGATATTGCAAAGACAGAAAGAAATCTCACCCTTTAATAGAGCCAAACAGAGAAGCAATAACCAGTCTTCAAGTAAGAGGATCAACAGCACTAATTGTCACACATAGTTCATCCTAGATTTGACTGATAATTAGAGTGCTGGTTAATTGGGAAAAGTGAGTCTTTTCATTTTTATTTGCTTTTATAATATTAGTTTAAAAAGTATATATATTCATCTTTTATTATTTTCTTACTTTGTTTTTCCTATTGTTCCCAAAATATTTCAAAACAAAAATGTTTATGAGAAATTTCAAACTAGCATCAATAAAGATAAATGGAGAGTAATGTTAAATCTAAATGTCCCCTTGCTTTTCTACTATTCCTTACCGTATCTATGGTTGATAATTATAATTTTTATCTCCTCTACATAACATCCCTAGATTTTTTGTGCTAAAAATTATTTTAAGCTAATTTCTACATTTGTAGCTTTAAAAAATAATACCTCATTTAGCAAATGTTTATTAAATGTAAAGTGGTCTCAGGCACTGAAGGAAATAAATGCAACTATAAATTAAACAAAGACTCATTCATTTATTCATCAGCCCTCTGATCACTTACTATTTATCAAACAGTGTGCCAAGTATACAGCAGGCATACAAAGTCAAATGAAATAAAACTACTAACTTCAAGAGGCCCAATGTCCTATAGAAGATAGTCCATGATCACTTATATAATGATGATTAAATAGTGCAAGACAGTCTGTGTAGAGGAAGTTCAGAGAGAAGATGGTTTGTATTCCAATGGGAAATGAATTATGTATGCAGACAAATTTCTGTATATTTGAAAAAATGAAGGGAGAAGGTATTTAAATGAGTTTAGGATAGACATGGCAAGCCTTGAAATTCCATATTTGAATTTAGTATTGCAGTATGGCAGCGACAACTGAAAAAATGTCTTTTTTAGCGATATGACTAGTGTTTGCAGTGAAATATGGTAGCTCAGGTTTTCAAGTTTTCTAAGTAGTTAATAACACAGTTAGGACCAAATATTGATTGTCCTGATTCAGCTCTGATTTCTAGATGCCACAGAGGGGGGAAGAATTTACTGATCCTCTGAAATAGGTTTTGGTGGGCAGGGATAAAAAGGCATTTTAGAAGGCCTAGACCATGAGATTTCTGAGCTCCAAAATGAGGCTATGGTACGAATCTTTTAGGAGATGAATTAACCTCTGTCACGAACTTCTAGAGTCTCTAAAATCAGACATGCTTCACACCTAATTAAAACACTCAAAGTTTTTCATCCATTGTTTTTCATCCAAAAACCTTAGAGTCGGTGGTAAGACCCCTCATTATCTGTGCCTTGTTCATCATCCCTGTCAGCTTTTTTTATCACTACGCTCAACTTGCAACTTATACTCCAGAGACTACCAAAGTAGTTGCAGTTTCCTGAATCTTTAAATATCTGGTGTTGCTCCTATAGCCATTTCATATGCTGCTACCTCTGTCAAGAATACCATGCCCTAAGTACTTTATTCAGAGGACGATTCCCACTCATGCCTCAAGATTCAACACAGATAATACATGCTCTAGGAAGTTTTTCCTGACTCCTTTCTCCTTCATGTACAAAAACTAATTGAGATCCCTTCCTAGGTACTTCCATAGCACTCTCTGTTTTCCTGCATTATCACAATTTATTATAACCATCACTTGTCTCCTCAACTATAAAGGAAGCTCTTTGAGGGTTGGTGCCCTCTTTTTCTCTACATTTTTAATGGTTATACCTTAACATAGCTTGCAGAATAACTATTTATTACATATGTGTTTAGATGGATAGAAATATAAATGGGTGGATGGATGGATGGATGTATGGATGACTTCATATAAGCAAATGATCCAGTTAATATGCATTGGGTAGCAGAAGACAGACTCAAAGAATGGAATTAAAAATCAAATATTCAAAAGTGATCTACTGATTTATCAAAGTTTTTTGTTATTAGTAACTTCAAGTCAAATTAAAACAGTGTACATTCAAAATTCTTACTATTATATTGGCTTATTTCATGTCTTTCTTAGGTGTGTGGAAGTTGGAGGGTTAATATACTCAATATGATCGAATGTTGTCACTCACTGGTTTCTCTTTTTTCACATGACTGTCTTCATCTGTTTCTATTATTTTTCAGGAAAAAATGCTATTACACTGACCGGAGGAACAAATCAATGGGCAGGTCAGTGGGTAATTTGGGTAACAAATCAATACGCAGGTCATGCGTAATTTGTTTACAACTGATTGTCATTTGGGAAAAAGAAAAAAAAGAAACATTCGATTACCCATATCAGCAGTTGTAAATTTTAGGAAAAAATACTTTGTTGATTTGTTCAAAGATTTCCAAAATGACTTATGCCAAATTTAACAATGTTTAAAATCAGATAATCTCTTTTTTTTTCTATTTACCATTGCCATGCCTGCAATCCTCTTTTTTCTTTTTAAGATTTTATTTATTTATTTGTCAGGGAGAGAGAGCACAAGCAGGGGCAGAGGCAGAGACAGAGGGAGAGGCAGGCTTCCCGCTGAGGAGGGAGCCCGACGCGGGACTCAATCCCAGGACCCAGGGATCATGACCTGAGCCAAAGGCAGATGTTTAACCGACTGAGCCACCCAGGTGCCCCTGCAATCCTTTTTTGATATAATGTTGTGAGAGGAGGATTTTAATTGCAAGTTAGCATCTCAGGAGATTTTAATTTAAAAAATAGTTATAAAATCAGGATTGATGGGCAAATGATGACCCACTAGAGTAATAGAAGAACAGACATGGCAGAAACCTTCTGGATCATTCAGTCCAAATCTCTTGTTTGACAGAGGTGGTCAAGGAGAGACCAGCCTCCAGAGTGATGAAGTGGTTTACCAAAGCCACATAGCATCTTATTTCACCAGCTGAGCTGCCTGTCTTATCCTAATATTGAAAACAAACTTTTCTTCAAGAGCTTCATCTCAAAACTTCTCTTTACCTACTGTGGTAAGAGTAGCTATGACAAAGGAATTTATCAAACCACAACCGTGAGACAGGAGAGGCTCTCCCACCTGAATCACCTTGGCCCTATTTTCACTGAGGAAAATGAACTTCCATTCAATGGGTGCTAAAAACAAAAGGCTTCTTATACTTGGCTCTTTTTCTGCTCATTGCAAAAGAATCAGTTAGTGAAAGCAAAATACGATAGAGTACACTCTATTGAATAATACTGCAGGATGTTACAAGTCAGAATGATACAAAACTGGAATCATATAGTGTGAACATCAGAACATTTTAGGAAAGGATTCCATAAATCGAGTTTCTTTACCAGAGAAAGTGGCTAAATATAATTTAGAACTTTAAGAAAAATTTTCATTTTAGGAGAGGAGAATGTTGGTCTCTCTTATACATTAAATTTAGATGTGGTGGGAACAGGTAACAAACAAAGTAAATAAATAATGGGGGGGGACTTGAAGTCAGAATGAATATTAAAGGAATTAGTACTTAAAAGTCTCTTTAAAATACTAAAATTATTAATGATGCTCCTCAGTCAGGTCAGATTTTTCTTTTTGTTGGATTAACATGCTCAGATTTAAAATGAACTTTTATCATTCCCCTTGTGCATATTTGGTCCTAGTCATATAGCAAATTTCCAAAATTATTTCTATATAATAATGTAAAAGTCATTGGAAATAAAATTATGAATTTACAACTGCAGAGGGTTTTGTTTTTCTCTGCATGTGCCTGCATTATGTTTGATGTGTTGATAAAATGTTTTTGGGTTAGGTTCAGTGTGCTCTATAGAATTAGTGAGATTTTGCTACTATATAATTAGTGGGTTTTCTGATAAACAAGCATCTTTCTTTCAGAGACTAGAAGAAGGGTAAAATCCTATATATTAAAATAGCAACAAATTTCTATATTATATTATGTAATTTAGCTTAGAGTGCGCTTGTGTTTAGAATGCATGATAAACGTGTATATTAAATTCTAAAGAAAACATTTTTAATAGTGGAAAAAATGTGGGGTTTTTTCTATTTTGGTCAAACTTAAAAATAAACTAGAAAAATAAATACTATATTATGTATCATAATGTTTTATTATCTTTTGTGTTTATTATTTCTGTTTAATTTCATGAAATGAAAATTCAGTTATATGTTCCAAATAATAATTAAAATACCTTAAACATTGCTACAGCCTACCTCTTTACAATTTACTTATTACAAATAGTTTTCTTTGTTCCTTGACTTTTTGGATGCATACGGGAAGGATAACAAATACATAGGAAAGGCATTTATAAAAGTATATGACATATTAAACTGAGAAAAAGGATGCCAAGTTATTTGCTTGAGTTTAGACTTTCACTTAGGGAAATGACTGATTTTGATTTTTTTTTTAAACTTTAACTTTGGAGAAAAAGTTTAAGTGTCCCCCTGCTCCCCCCACCCCCGTGTATGTGTGTGTGTGTGTGTGTGGTGACCATCATTGTTATAAAATTTTAAAAACCCAATTTGTAGACAATTGGCAAGAGAGAAATGAAAATCAATTATGTGCATTTAGATTTCACTTGTGCTTTTCCATTCTTGAAGTGGGAAAGATGTTTGTGCCTAGGTATCTTGACCAGTAAAAGTTAGGTGATGAATAATGTACAGGCAATTATCCAGCTTTTGAAGATTGTCATTTCTCCTGGCAGGTTGATAGGAAATGGCTATAGTTTTATTATTGCTGCTATTTATCATTTGTTTACAAAGCACTTTCACATTCAGTTATCAAAACATCTTCAAAATGACCCTTCGGGGAGGCAGAACAAAGAGTAACTAGTTTTGCAGATCTGGGAGATTAAATGACCATTATCACCACTCTCTACTACCCCCGTGCCTCCTCCCCTCTCCCAGATTTCACAGCTGGTTGGGTAGAGTTGGCACTCCGATGAAGTTCTTTTGGCCCTTTTATCCAGATTTCTTTTCAATTTCCGTAGAATTCTCTGCTTTCCATTGATTTTAGCCAAGGAACTTAAAGCTCCATTAGAAGTCCTTTTCACAATATGCCATGAAATCTTGAGTCTGCAAGATGGCCAAGGTGACAAAGATTTGGTAGAGTGTAGACTGCATTAGATCATGTTGGTGACATGTTGGTGAGACTGGTAGTAGTAGACAGAGTAATAATAACTCTCATTATTATCGTAAACATTACTGAGTGCTTGCTGCGTGCTTAGCACTGTGGATTCAAGCATTACATATTTAATTCTCAAAATATCCTTTCCTTTAAGAGATGAGAAAATAGAATAGAATAAGAATCAAGGAAATTGAGTAATAGTCTAGAACTTTGCATTCCGTGATTCAAATCCAGGCCTGATCACGTTTCACTATCAGAATCATTTACTTCTTCATAGAAAGTGTATATGAAAAGTCTACATTATAGTATTATTTATTTCTATAAAAAATGAGTGATGATCTGAAGGCCATTTTATTTCATTAATGTTTTTAAAATTCATCTCCGCTTCCCGTATATTTGTATGTTGTCAGAGATAGGCCCTCAGAAACTGTAGTTCATCATCATTTCCTAAGTGCCGTCAGAATGTATCCTTTTATTTGATCCTTCTAGCACCTGGTAAGACAGATGCAAACACTTCCTCTCTCTAGAGATAAAGAACCTAAAGCTCAAGATTGAAAATGTTTGCCTCAATTTCAATAACTGGCAAATTCAGTCCTGGAAGACTCCTCCTCCACCTCCTACTCCGCTGTGTTCCTCACTGTGCCAAGTTTAAAAAGCTGGAGTATTTGCTATATAATCTGTTCAGTGATTTATAAATATCTGTGTACTAGTCGCTGAAATATGGAGATACTCTGTGATTTCAGAGGCTTTTGTTATCATGAGAAGAAGCAAAATGAACACCTCAGACATTGCCCATTTATTAATTTAGGCTAGAAAAAATACTTTGGTCCCTCTAAAACCAAAAGTGGCTTGTGATCTATATGATAACCTACCTGGTAAAGGAAAGGTCCAGACTCTCCACATGCTAAACTTTACATCAATTGATTGTTATTTCAAATTATGCATAGTAATCTTACCATAATAGACTTGAGTGGAATAATTCCTCAGATACACTATTAGCTGCCTACACATTGCTATACTGAATTTTTAAAAGTTTAAGCAGCGCTGGCCCAACAGATATTAGGATACATTGTACTTGTCTAGGAAACTATCCTATTCTGCTACTTTGATTCTTACTATTGTGGAAGGGGCCAAAAATTGACAAAGATAGAACCTCACAGTGTGTAAATATTGCAGTTTTTTTAAGTAAACACAATTATTATTACAGTTACTCAGAATTAGGTTTTCAGAATCAATCTCTGGACTCAATATCTCTTTCTTTTGCTTGTTTTTCTTTGTACAGTAAATATGATTCCAATCAGTATATATACATAAGAACTGGGTTATGACTGTATTCTAAAGCTGAGACCAAAGTGTGATATAAGATTTCCTGAAACAGTATCTTAATGTCATACATCTGATGTCTGTACTAAACCCATTACTCAAAGTGCAGCCAGTGGATAGCAGCATGGACATCCCCTAGGAGCTGGTTAGAAATGCAGTAGGCTCACCCTGGGTCTACTCGACCCTGGGTCAAGTTTAAAATAAGACACCAGGGGCGCCTAGGTGGCTCAGTCAGTTAAGCATCCGACTCTTGATTTCAGCTCAGGTCATGATCTCGGGGTTGTGAGATAGAGCCCAGCGTGGAGGCTGCTTGGGATTCTCTCCTTCCCTTTCCTGCTGCCCCTCCCCTCTTTTAAAAATAAATAAATAAATCCTTAAAAAAATAAAATAAGACAGCACCTTTCAAATCTCCAGCTAAGTCAATTTTTCTTTGAGTGAGGAAATGGAGGCAAGAATTTAAATAACATCTGTCAGTTCACACAGCCACTGTGGTGCCAAGCTGCCTTTGAACTAGGTTTTGCTTGACACCAAAACCCTTGCTGTTTCCATCACAGCTGGGGCTTGCAGCGCTGTTGAATAAGCGTGTTGTAGACATTTATTTCCTTTTAGTCTCCACTTGTAGAGCCACATGGCTGTCGAGTTTTCAGAGAATTACAGATGTGGGTATACCTACATACATACATCTGTGCACTCACAACTTAGATAAGCAGGTCATGCTCCTTTTATTGTTATGTTCTTTCCTACCGCCATCTTTATGTATGATGATTCTTTAACATTTTCCACAAGATTTTTATCATAAGGATAACCTAGTTGCACCAAAAGACTTTAAACTGCAAGATTTGGTTTGTTTTGGAATTTCTTTCTTTTGTGTGGGAACAAGAGAAATGTTTGTGTGTGGGTGTGAGTGTGGGTGTGTGTACGTCTTTTTGGAACTCCTTTTTCGGAACGGTATAGAAGAGAGGCATGGCTCTGGAATGCAACCTAATCTAGTTCATGTGACTTTGTTCCAGTGTACAAAATTATTTTAGGAGAATAAAAAAATGGATGTCCCAAAACCCAATGGTTCTTGACAAGTCAGCTTTTCCAAACCTGCAGGAGTCAGACTGCTATACTGGCCCCTTCAGCCGTGCACGGATTCACCAGTAAGTTCACATTTCTTTTTCTTCCATGACCTGACTTGATACCTTTCATTATCTAGGAGTTATTGATAGAATAAAAATACCTTGGAACAGTTCCATTGTTTGCCAAATAAGTCAGAGAATGTATCATTTTATTAAAATATTTTTTGCACTTAATTTATGAACAGTACTTGGCGAGCATTATTAATTCCTTATCAGCTGATTTAGAGGCACTCAGGAAATGAGTAATTAATTGTAAACTCACGTGGGCTGGTAGTCTAGGTCCCAATTCTTTAAAAAATAATTGTTGGCGCATCGAAGTACAAAACTAAAAAGTACAATATCAGAATGGTGGAAACTACTAAAATGGACATGGATACAGATACCATGAAACAAAGCAGAGTAAAGTCAACCTGTTAGGAAAGACCCAAATAAAATGCACATTTTTACAAGAAAGGCAGAAGCTACAGCCAGAGGAAAGGATCTAGGAAGACTTTTTGAAGGAGATAGTCCTCTCCAGCAGGTAAAAGTGTGGAGGGAGGTGGAGAGAGGTGGGGGGGGGGTAGATATCAGAGTCAGAGCAAAATCCTGAGAAAAAAGAAATGTGAGATTTCAAGGTATGAGAAATTGTACAATTTGACTATCAGATGCAAAAACCCAGGACTATAGGAAATCAGACTGAAGGAGAGGCTGAAATGCAAAAATAGAGAGCCTGGAAGGAAAATAAGGAATTTAATTTTGTATGTATGCTGACACATTAATAGTAGGAGTGCTCTAAGAATCAGAGCTGTGCTTAAAAAGTCAGGTGGGAAATTGGGCAGCCAGTTAAGAGGACATTCCTCTCGTAATCTAGGCAATGAGACCCAGAACAATAGGGTAGCTCAAAGCCAGAGAGAGGCAGTTCAGTTAGAAAAGTTGACTGGTTTGGCAACTGTTTGAATATGGATGGTAAAAAGAAAACAAGAATCATAGAAGACCTAAAACTTCAGTACTAAGTGCCTGGAAAAAAATGGCCGATTATTACTCACAGAGATAAAGCAACTGGAAACAGGAACTGTCAGAAGTTGAGTAAGGTCCAGGACGCTTCCATTTTTTTAAGCATCCCACCATATTACAAAATAAATGCTGAAATAGACCTCCTTTCCTGTCAGGATCACCCTTTTGCTCTTTACTCATTAGTGCTCATTACAGTTTCTCTTTGCAACTCTTACTACATGGGGATGGTACAGGGCATGAAGGGGAAGGGAGAACTGTTGATTATTATTGAGGTTTGGAAAGCAAGACAAGTTAGCTTGGAAGGTGTGGTATGGGCAAATGACATCAATTTTTAATGTGTTCTATTTGGAACTACATTGCCTAAGGTAGTACAAAATTTATGGGAGGCAATGGACAATTTAATGCTGCTGTCCCCGCTTCATGCTAAACACGAAATAGGAGGACATCTAAGCTTCCCTATAAACTGAAAGATTTTTAAATGAATGTTTGATAATGCCTGTATTATTTATAAATGTATTTTGTCTCTGCCAATTGATTTATTTTAAGAGGATCGTTTGTCTTTTGACTTACTATACTTCTCGTGTTAGTTTTAATGGAAAAAACAGATGGATGACTACCTAGAAACTTGTAACTGTTGCTGGACTCTGTGCTCTGCTTTGAATATTAAAACAAATCCCCTTATCTTAACAGCTTCATAATAAACAACAAGGACACATTCTTCAGCAATGCTACTCGAAGCAGGATAGTCTATCACATGCTACAGCACACGAAATATGAAAATGGAATATCAAAAGTGGGTAAGAACACTAATTAAAAATATAAAGAAGGTAGAATTTGCTGTTACTAATTATATCCGGAAATACTTATTTTCACATCTGAAGCTTTGCCTTCATGCATTAAACATGAGGATATAATGCATTGAACACAAATTCTAAGCATCCTATTTTTCAGCCTTCCAATAAAACAAAACTAAATAAAACAACAGCAACAACAAAAACTTTTTCAAGGGCATTTAGCCATATGTATCAAAATGAGAACACTTTGGAATAGAAATTTTATTTCTTGGAATGTATCTCAAAGAAATAATCAGATTTTGGATAACAATATATGTAGAAGTTTGTTCATAGTGGCTTTGTTTATAAACAAAGATTAGAATAGAATGAAACTGGAAATACTCCAACCGTCCATCTCGAGGAACTAACAATAAGTTAGGCTATGCTCCATAAATGCATCCATTTAAAATTATTTGTTATTTGTTCACTCTTAACTCAAATTTATTGAACATCTGTTGTATGCTATATATCACAAAAAAATATATGATGCAGACCCCTTACTTGTTGAAATGGAAAATTAGTGATTAGTTCTCCATTTATTGACCTTGAAAGGTAGCCACAATGCATAATCAAGTGAAAAAAAAGACCAGATTAAAAACTATAAGTCTAATGTAATTCCATTTCCTAAACATACATTTGTAAAAAGAAAAAAATCTGGAAGAATATATATGAAACTTTCTAGAAGTTACCTCCAGAAGGTGAAATAACAGCTAATTTTAACTTTCTAGATTTCTGTGTTGTTTAAATGTATTGCAGTATGCTACTATATGTATATTGCAAAAGAAAACTGAGAAAATTTCACCTAGAAAAATTAAATAAAATTGCAAAGTTTACATAGTGCAGAGCAGAAAACAGGTAATAAACGAGCTGGTCTTTTAATTATTAGGGTGAAAAATACAAGACAGTGAAGAAATCAAATGTTAGTTATGTACTAAAATCCTTACAAATATAAAGTTGATAGCCATTGGAAACTTGTACTAATTTCTACTGAATTGTTTTAAAAAATAGTGCCACAGAAGTAAAATGAACTATGTTTCAAGTCAGCCATTTATTAAAGAGGAAAGTTCAGACTTTGGTTCTCCTCTGATTAATAATTCATTTGTTACTGAGTAGTCAAAATAGTTAATTTGGACACTAAATCCTTACAAAAAATTTTGACACTTAGTTTTCTAAATAAGAAATAAAAATAGAGAAGTCCGGAATATAAAATAAAAATGTGTCTAAGTGATAGTGTTATGTGCTTACATAGTCTTTAAAAATAAAAATATGACATTTCAAATGATTATAAAGATATCATGCCCTTTGTAGAATATACAATAAACACAAAAGGTATAAAAATAAAATTTAAAAATCCCCAAACTCAGTTGTCACTCTCACAAAGTAATACTGAATGTATATATAGTAAATTTGTATGATTCTAATAATGATGTGTTGAACATGATATATATATACATGATTTTTAGAATCATTCAGTGTTCACAATTTTGTCCTTTTTAAAAAGTATTTATGAGCATTTTCTCAAGCCCTTTGGTATGTCTGGAAACATTGTAAATAGCTGTACAAAATTCTATTATAGGCATTCATCAAATTGCAGTTATTTACCAAGTACCTAGTATAATTAATTGCACAAATGATTCCCTGATTTGGGGTATACAATTATTTCTTATTCTTTACAAATATAAATAATACTGTAACAAAAATTATTCTCCAAAAGTTTCCCAATATCTAATCTTACCAGGACAATATGAGAATGTCCATTTCACTACACTCTGGCTGAGATGGAGGAGATTTTAAGAAGTGTCACATATTGCTATTTATGTCTCCTTGGCTCAGTATTACTTAAAGACTTCTCAAAACCAATATCCTTTAGAGACATTTTGTTGGTGGAGAATTCCTCTGTTTTCTTGACTAAATGTTGTTTTGAGACAGAAAAAATATTTGCTTCAGGTTCATGTGATCCCAGATAAATAGGTATTAAAAAGCCTCATATTTCATGATATGACAAAGTGCCATGTGTTGGCACCTTACAAATCTCCATTGATTCATGTCGTAAGGACACAAATAGACTCTTTAGTATAGTCTCTTTCACAGCCCCCTGCCTTCAGAGGTGTGGCTATGGGTGTCTTTTGGGTTATTTTAAGTTTTTAAATTAATTTGTTCTCCCAAATTTATATATTTTGCTACAGAAGGAAGTCTTCATTTGAACGAACTCAAAAACTGTTCTTTTTTTTCCCTCTTTCCAGGTATCTGTAAACTTATAAACAATGGCTCATACATAGCAGCTTTTCCCCCTCATGAGGTAATTTTGAAATAAAACTTCCATTGGGGGGAAAAAAGTTTTTCATGCTCATTGCTGATCCTTCTTTTATTTTATTTATTTATTTTTTAAGTCTGGCCACCCACTCTTAGGAGGATTCAATCAGTGAGTGGCCCTGGGCCTTTCTCAGACCCCATTATGATCTCTGGCTGCATACTGGCCCCAGTGCTCTAGAACCTTTGTGCAATTTTTCCCTTGTCGGGAGTCCCAGCCCCGGAGGGAACTTAGGGACATGGTTCAACCACTCTGACCACCATCCTCTGCTCCAATGCAGAGTTGCATGCTTGACCCAGCTTGGGATCCACACCATTACCAAGCAGGGCAAGTTCTGGTTTGTGCCTACTACTTTGTGATGCCTGAAAATCTAAGACAAACCCACAACACAAACCGTCACCCCATTATTTACTTGATTCTCTGCCAGGTTATTACCTGTCTACCAATTTTAAGTTAGAAACACCTGCTCCAAGCTATAGTGAGTTCTGCCTGCTGAGTCATGAATAACATTTGAATCAGTTTTGAACATCCTCTCCCAACACACACACACACACACACACACACACACACACACACACACTATATTCTTTTTAAGACCACTTTGCATTTTAAAATAAGTATGGGGTCTTTAGAGGTTTGAGGTCAGCAATCTCAGAACCCATCACTTCTATTTATAAAGGCTGAGGACTCACAAGGTGTAACCCCTTCACAGTCTAGTAGAAATCATAAAGGATAAAATGCATCGAGCACTTCCTATTTGGCACTGAGCTAAGTGTTTTATATGGATTATCTCATTTAATCCTTAGGACAACCCTTTGAGATAGACAATAATAATAGCTCCATTTTATAGCTAGGTCATTGAGGCACAGAAAAATTAAGTATCAAAGGCACAGGTTTGAGCCCACGAAGCCAGACCCCAAAGCATCTATTCATTATGGTATGAATATCTTACTTACAGTAGGAATAGAAATAATAATAATGGGTAATAGGTTATTTCAGGTGACAGGCCCCCTTTTCCCATTAATCTGAAAATAATCCTGGAGTGGTAGATATTATTATTTTCTCATTATAGAGATACAGAAATAAGGCTCAGAGAAATTAAACATGATGTCAGATTTGACATAGTTGGTAAGTGGTACAGTGTTCAGAGTGGCAAACCTAAGGCCCTGGGAGAGCTTCTATAGCAAAGGAAGTTTTGGTTTGTTCTTTGTGCGAGTAATTTCATCTACATAACTAGTCTGTGTTCTAGCAGTTCATTTGACACTTTCTTGTGTGAAATTTGGAACCTATTTGGAGTAGTTTGTAAATAATAATCCTATTTTTTCTTCTCTGTTGGTTGGAGTAGGGGACTGATCATGAGGATATAAAGGGGTGATCACTGAGTGCACATGGTGCTCCGAACAGGGATGGAAACATGGGCGAGCAGGTGTCAACACTGCAGTTTTCTCTTACAGCCAACAGGTGTCACTGTCAACCAGAACAGTATGGTTGAGGTTCTTGAGCAGAATTAAAACAATGATCTACTAGGGATCTACCAGGAAGAGCCTATGTCTGCCCACTGAGGCTGGGAAGGAAACTCAGGTGTTTTAGAAAGATTATCATTAATTACTGAAAGAAAGCTGAGACTTTGGTTCACCTTCCCTTACTTACCCAATCTCAGGGCAGTCTATCCTAACAGATCAGTCCAATTGCACAAGCAAACAAACATTTCCCAAGTGGACGTACCCATGCTTGAAATCTTGATCTTCACTTTCATCTCCTTAGCTTCTAATCTTTAGGCTTTAAAAGCCTTGGGCTCTCTTAAGGAAGAAAACTTGGACTGCACTGTAGTAGAGGAAAAGTTTTCTCTTCTTCCCTTCAGGGTTCTTTGGCTGACCTAATAAATTGACATAAAGCAGCTTATTAATAGGAGAAAAGCAAATTTAATTATGCATGTACAGATCCCCACGAAGACATGAGAGGCTCTCCAGCAGTCAGGAATTGAGGTTTATATGCTATCCTGAGTTAAGAAGAAGAGGGCAGTGGTCTAGGAGGGAGGTAATTCACAGGACAATGGAAGAGAAAATGTTGGGTGAACCAATGCTTGCCACATCCTGCAGCTAAGTATTTCTTATGTAAAAATGTTATCCTTGGTAATTGCTCTCCTCCCTCTCATAGGCTTCTTATCTAAATTATTTTGAGCAGGAGGGGCGCCTGGGTGGCTCAGTCAGTTAATCGACTGCCTTTGGCTTGGGTCATGATCCTGGGGTCCTGGGATCGAGCCCCATGTCGGGCTCTCTGCTCAGCGGGAAGCCGGCTTCTCCCTCTCCCCCTGCCCCTTCTCCAGCTTGTGCTCTCTCTCTCTCTCACTCACTCTCTGTCTCTCAAATAAATAAAAAATCTTTAAAAAAATAAATAATTATTTTGAGCAGGTAAGGGGGTAGGTAAAAAACTTCTTGAGTCTATTGGCCATTAATTTTTTTCAACTTAGAAATAATCTACATGCCAAAGTAGCACATTCTTGCCCTAAACCCCATCAGCACTTTAACTGTACTTCTATCTTTATCTAATTAATGTATCCATTTCATTGGAAAGTGAGAGAGAGTGAAATCCACATGTATCTCTCATTTCAACCTTGAGGCATCTGCAGACCGTGATTCAAGCTGCCCTCTTTCTTCATAAGAACTCACACCGCTGGTTGTCTGGGATCACTCAGATGATAGTTTTCCACTTTTTTTTAGAATGAGAATTTTTTTTATTTTTATTTCTTTATTATGTTCAATTAGTCAACATATATTACATCATTAGTTTTGGGTTTTTTTTAATTATATGTTCAATTAGCCGACATATAATACATCATTAGTTTTTGATGTAGTGTTCAACAGTTCATTAGTTGTATATAACACTAAGTGCCCATCACCACCACACTTGCCCTCCTTAATACCCATCACCCTGTTTCCACTTTTCAATGGCCACAATATATCAAACACCATAAATTAACTAACACTGATTTTGTACTTTATATGTGCCCAGCACTTTATAATGCAAGTGAGCCCTCACAAAACCCCTCTATGGTGGAAATCATTAATATTTATTCTTATTCTCATCATCTACATGAGGAAACTAAGGCATAACTCCACTTGTTTTAAATTTTCATTAAGCTGTTTGTAAAAGTAGAATCACACATTGGAATGAGATGGAGTTTGTCAAATCCTGTCCTAAGTTTTGGCTTAGAAAATAGTCACCATATCTATTGCCCTCCTTTTTGATTGTAAAAGCAAAGCAGTTCCTCTATCAGGCATATATATTCTATGTGTCTAATATTACAACCCATATGACAGTTTTTGAGGGGAGATATAAAGAATTTGACAATGTTTCCATTTTTGGATTATCTTATCTAAAGTAAGGTATGAGGATTCTAGAATTGAAAAACTTGACCAGCTCTTGTGACTTAGGCCTCTTATGCTTTTTGATTTAACATTTACTTTCCTCTCTCGCTTCTGTAAATAAAATAAATATTTTCTGGGACTGAGTCACTGTTTAAAGTAGAATAATACTCTTAATTTCTGAAGTAAAGATTACAACTATTTCTCTCAGTGATGGTGAATATAATATTTATTTAAAAACCTTAGGTTACAAACAATAAGACCTAAATTCTAGTTTACTTGAAGTGAAAGGGACCTCATTGTTTTAAAAAATGACTTTAAGGAAGGACTTTTAAGTAATTATCAGAATATTTTCAATGAAAGAGAGATATATAAAGAGATTTACTACATCATTCCAGTGATGGGCTTAAGTTTACAATTTCTGAAGCTTTCAGTAAGTTGTTAAATTGTTCTGTAAGGAAAAAATAGTAAAAGCAATTCCTATTTAGTTCAAATTTACTAAGGGAATGTATATCAATTTATCTTGTGTTATGTGTTTCAGGGAGCCTACAAAAGTAGCCAGCCCATCAAAACGCATGGACCTCAGAATAACAGACATCTATTATATGAGCGCTGGGCACGCTGGGGAATGTGGTATAAGCATCAGCCCCTGGATTTAATCAGGTAATGTGGATGGATTGATAATGGAAGATATATTATGCTGTTCTGTTGTCATTTTCCAGATTTGGAATTATTTTATTCACCCACCAAATCATCTATCTCATTCAGGAGGCAGTCAGAGAAAAAGAAGACACTATAGGTCTTTCCAATAAAAAAGAACTTAATTTAGGGATTTGGTTATATAGGGGATGGGAAAGCTGAGAAATCAGACAGAAATAGTGAGGTAACCAGAGATTAACAACAGAAGAAGACTGCTAACAACCTTGAGGTTGCAAGGAAAATGGGATGAAGTATATTTCAGAGCCCACTACCTGGGCCATTGGGCAGGAGCTACACCATCCAGAACTAGGACTGTCCCCAGAGAAGTTAAAGTGTTGGCAGTGGAGCCATGAAGAAGGAATGACTACTTCTCCCTGAAGACCTTGCCCAAGAGCGAAGGAAAGCTCTTGGCTTTCCCTGCCTCCTTACACCTTTGAGTCTTCCAGGAGCAATTTACAATAGAACCTGTATAATCTACTTCCCTGTGAAAACAAACCAAAATGGGGAAAGGCAGAAAATGGATCTGAGAGCAAAGAGAAAAGTGACCAACATAGCATCTACGCATGTCTTTCAACCAAGAATTTAGTAAGCATTCCATTCCAGGAAGCACGTTTATAGTGAGTAACTGCTCTCAATTTCAGTTAGTCTCCAGATACTGTTTTATTCATTATTTATTTAATTTTGATGGAGGATAATTTTTCTTTTAAAAATATCAGGCGGGGCGCCTGGGTGGCTCAGTCGTTAAGCGTCTGCCTTCGGCTCAGGTCATGATCCCAGGGTCCTGGGATCGAGTCCCGCATCGGGCTCCCTGCTCCGCGGGAAGCCCGCTTCTCCCTCTCCCGCTCCCCCTGCTTGTGTTCCCTCTCTCACTGTGTCTCTCTCTGTCAAATAATTCTCTTATCTATTAGACATATTGCTATTGCTGCTTCAGGTAATTTCAGCAAGTAACCTTTATTTTTAATAACTAAGGTTATTTGGCTACTGTTACCAATTATTTGGCTATTGACACAGAAGGGAAATTTTGCTTATGAAAGTCATATATTTTGTGTTCAAGTGGCTAAGAAGAGAGGGGGGAGATGAAGGGCTTACCCAAGATGAAGGCCATAAAAGAGTAGAGATGGCACTTCAGCATCTTCCTGCTCTCTAGGAACCTGCTTGTTACCCAGATATAAAACATAAAAAGAAAATGGCTATGGGTGAAGGATAGTGAAGAGTGACACCGATAGCAACCGAGCAATTCGTCCCTGCCTAGGCATGGTTTTTGAGATTCCTCTAGAGATCCTAGAATATTATGAATACCAATGCTCTAGGTCAAGGGGGTTTTCATCAGCTTTCTTGGCCTCGAACTAGCTTCTCCCTCTCCTGAATCAGATCTAAAATCTGCTGTAACTTAGGTGATTAAACTACTGTCAAATAATATTGTTGCTCCTCTTAACCTTCAACAGTATATAATTGAAAATCTCAGTATAATGCTGCCTGTTTAAGGGGGGTTGTCTGTGCAGTCCTCTGTAGTCATTATTATAAAGACATTCCATTATGTTAGTAATATATGCGAAAACCTACTCTACTTCACAGAGGAACACTTGTTTAAAGGAACAGATGGCTTTATTGCAATACCTGTTGATATGGTAAGCTTTTGTCTCAACTAGAACAATATCGTTGTATGAGAAGTGAATGATCTACTGATCTATGTCTCCTAGGAGAAATCAATGAAAAAAACAAAAACTTAGATAAATGGAGGATGACTCCATTTCTATACCTGGTAGAATATGCAAAATTTTAATCTGCACAATACAGAGAATGATGTAGAAAAAGAATGATTTTCAGAAAGAAAAAAAATACCAAGAGAATTGTCTTGTCAAGGAAAAAATACCAAGAGAATTTCCTTCCCAGCAAGAATCACTGCCCAGTGCAATATTCCTAAATGAGCTGTAAAACACCAATTTTTAGAGCTATCCCTGGAACGCAACTGTGTTAAGTAACCATTTTTAGAAGATGGAGATGAAACAGTCATAGAGAATTCAAAAAATTATTATTTCTTACCAGAGCTTTATAAACTGTGTGGCAGTTGATATTGTCAGTAGACTTGGTGAAGAAAGAGTAAAAGATAGTCATTAGAACTGTCTTATTCATCTGCCATTTCCATATAAACTATGTTCATCGGCTCAAGGGAAATAAAATATATTCATTTCCTTAGCTTCATTCAGTACTCCCTGTGGTGGGTGCTAGTAAAGAAGACACAGGTCCGCTTTGAGGCACTTGAAGTCTTATGGAGGGGAGAGGAATGGAAGAGTGACAGGTTAATTGTCATAAAGTGTTATAAATTTAGGACACTGAAATGTGGGTGAGGGCAATATGTGAACAAGATCAGGAGCGTCTAAGCCAGGGTTGCGGTGGAAGTCAGGAAAGGCTTCCTGTAAGAAGTGATATAAATGTGTACAAGCCAGACAAGGGAGGAAGATGAAATGTAATATTCCAAAGTAAGGGAACAGCATTGACCAAGGAAAGAATCGTGTGCTCCAGGAACCGCAGAGTTAACTTTGTTGGGGAAGGTGTGACATGATTGTGTCTAGCATAAGGGAGTCTGGCCAAGGGTGCAGATGGAGACTGAAATCAAATCTACTCTCAACATCTACCTACAGGGAAGACTTTTTTCTAATTTACACAAAAGCAATATGATTTAGCACAGCTCTGTGTGTGGAAAACAAAAAGACATTTTACTAGGAGGATGGAGAAAGGCAATAATTGGCTTTTAAAAGTTTTATGAACCTTGTTAAGAAGTTTGACACAGAAAGAATACATTTTATAAAATTACCCTTGTAATGACAGTGTTTAAAGATAAACAGCATCACCATTATTGGATTCATTAACAAGTGGGAATATTAAGATACCCCAGATGGAACTTACTGAGGAACTGAGCTGGTATGTCCATCTGAAATTTTGACTAGGTGTGACATCAACATTTGCCATGTTGCTTATGTTGCTTTAAACTAAGAGTTTGCTTTCTCATGCAGACTCTACTTCGGTGAGAAGATTGGGCTATACTTTGCTTGGCTGGGATGGTATACTGGAATGCTGATTCCTGCAGCACTGGTTGGCTTGTGTGTGTTTTTCTATGGAATATTTACAATGAATGGAAGTCAAGTAAGGTGAGCTATTAACAGCCTTATTAAAATGTGTTGGCCTTTATTCTGATTGGCAGAAGCTTTATGATAATGCTGACTGTGAAAAACAACTCATGGTTCTACAATTTATTTGCTGGGATTTCTGAGGGGAAGAGAAAAGCACTATTTTTAAAAGGCCATTTCCATATTTTTATATGCAAATTCTCTTGGATAAGTTCTAAGACTGTTTCTCTGTATGCAAAATTTCTCTTTCTAGTATATCCCACTTAATAATTCAACAAGGCAATGGTAGTTTTATATAATTTACATTTCCATAGTATTTGGTAGTCCAGAATGCCCTCTCACTAAGGTAGTTCAAATAATCTAAATTACTACAATTCTTTAAACACTTACAATATACAAAGAGCTTCCCGATAATGTTCTTTTTTTTTTTTTTTTCATTTGATAGGAACTTCACTACCATCCTTTTTGCAGATGAGGGAAACTTACGTGTTTAGAGATGTCTGAACAAAAATATTTGTAGCACATAAATCCTGCTCTGAGCAATCTTCTCTCCTGAGAACATAAAATCACTTTCTATTTTCTTCTTATTCTGTATAAGAACAAATATTTGTAAGTATTTTAGTATCAACTTAAAGTATCAAGACGGTAGTGAAATAAGGTTTGACAAAAATCAAGCATTTATGAGAATGGAGAGTCTACTGTTAAAGTTGAAATCACTCAAGATTTGGGTGGAGGAACAATACATTATTATTCAGCAGAGACAAGACTCACCCAGACATTAAAGAATCCTCATAATAAATGTTTTATTTAATATATACAAATATATCATCAATTTCAGGCTTCTATGATATAATTCAAAATATGAAAAGCACTTCCCTCCTTTAAAGCTCAGCACTTTGTTCTCCTTTGGTCCATCTTTTAACCATGACCTTACTACTGGGTAGTAATCATGACAGTTAATGGTATCATAAAAATAATTTCCTTGAATTCTCTCTCTCTTTCTCTCTCTCTCTACACACACATATCTATATCTTTATTATACATATGTGTATGGATAACGATTTGCCTAAAAACAAAATATTTCCATTGTCCTAGAGTTAAATCCAGTTCCATACCAACTTCCTTGATTTGATATCTTAGTGTCCCCTTGCTCTCCATGAATGCTAAATGATAATTAGTTTGAAAACAAAGAAACACCTACTGTTCAAACACATTTCATCTAGTCGGAGGTTTATTTCAGAATTTTGCAAACTCACTACCCCTCTGGAAGGCAGCATCTTCCTGAACAAACTTGTGCCCAGTGGAAACATCCATCCCTATTTGGGCATTTCTCTGTATGCTGTTAAATCAGTAACCTCTGAAGCTAAGAAAACAGGTTATGATTTGAAGTTATAGTATCTTGGAAAGAAAAACACTTTTTTCTACTTTTTTATTCTCTCTTTCTATGAGTTTGGCTTTCTTAAAGATTTACTTTAAAGTGATACCATAAAATAATTTTTCTTCCTCTGGCTTATCTCACTTAGTATACCTTCAAGGTCCATCCATGTCACAAATGGCAGGATTTCCTTCTTTCTCATGGCTGAATGTATTATACACACACACACACACATCTTTATCCATTCATCAATGGGCACTTAAGTTGTTTACATATCTTGGCTATTGTAAATAATGCTACAATGAACATAGGAATGCAGATGCCTCTTCAAGATCCTGTTTTCATTTTCTTTGGATATACACTTAGAACTGGGGTTGCAGGATCATATGGTAGTTCTATTTTTAATATTTTGAGGAACCTCCATATTGTTTTCCATAGTGGCTGCACCAATTTAGATTCCCATCAGCAGTGCTTTGATTATAGGCATCCTAACAGGTGTGAGCTGATATCTCACTGTGGCTTTGATTTGCATTACCCTGATGATTAATGATGTTGATCACCTTTTCATGTACTTGTTGACTTGTAGATCTTCTTTGAAAAAATGTCTATTCAGTTTCTCTGCCCATTTTTTAAATCAGATTGCTTGTTTTTCTGCTATTGAATTGTATGAGTTCTTTATATATTTTGGATATTAACCCCTTATCAGATATATGTTTTGTAAATATTTTCTCCCATTCTGTAGGTTCTTTTTGTTTTGTTGGTGGTTTTCTTTGCTAATGCAGAAGTTTTTAGTTTGATGAGTCCATCCCACTTGTTAATTTTTGCTTTGGTTGCCTTTGCTTTTGGTGTCAAATACTAAAAACCACTGGGAAGGCCAGTTTCAAAGAGTTTACCCCCTATGTTTTCTTCTAGGAGTTTCATGGTTCAGGTCTTAAATCTAAGTCTAATCCATTCTGAATTAATTTTTACATATGGTATAAGATAGGGGTTTAGTTTTGTTCTTCTGCATGTGGATATCCAATTTTCCCAATACCATTTATTGAAGAGACTATCCTTTTTCCATGGTATATTTTGCCCACTTTGTCAAAAATTGACCACATATACATGGGTTTGTTTCTACTTTCTGTATTCTGTTCCATTGATCTATGGGCCTATTTTTATGCCAATACCATACTGTTTTGATTACTATTGCTTTATAATATTATTTGAAACCAGGTGTCATGCCTCCCATTTTGTTCTTCTTTCTCAAGATTGCTTTGGCTATTTAGGGTTTGTTGTGTTCCATAAAAATTTTGGGATTGCTTTTTCTATTTCTCTGAAAATACCATTGAAATTTTGATAGAGATTGCATTGAATCTGTAGATATCTTTTGGTAGTCTAGACATATCAAGGGTATTAATTCTTCCAATCCATGAGCACAAAATATCTTCCCATTTATTTGTGTCTTTTTCAATTTCTTTCATCAATGTCTTAGTTTTCAATGTATAGATCTTTTACCTCATCAGTTGAATTTAGCCCTAATTATTTTATTTTTAGGGCAATTGTAAATGGAACTGTTTTCTTTTTCTCTTTTTGGTAGTTCATTGTTAGTGTATAGAAATGTAACTGATATTTGTATACTGATTTTGTATTCTGCACCTTTATTGAATTCATTTATTAGTTCTAACAGTGTTTTTGATAGAGTCTTCAGGGTTTTAGAAAACCACTCTTATTTTTTTTTAATTTTTATTTATTTATTTATTTATTTATTTATTTATTTATTTATTTATTTAAATTCAATTAGCTAACATATAGTACATCAGTTTCAGATGTAGAGTTCAGTAATTCATCAGTCAAATATCATAGCGCTCATCATATCATGTGCCCTACTTAATGCCCCTCACCCAATTACCCCATTCCCCCACACACCTCCCCTCCAGCAACCCTCAGTTTGTTTCCCATAGTTAAGAGTCTCTCATGGTTTGTCTCTCTCTCTCTCTCTCTCTCTGATTTCGTCCATAGGGGAAGGGAGGAAAAACAGAATGGGAAGAAACCTGGGAAAAACCACTGTTTTAAAATGAGTTGATAGAGACATAAAATGATTTTTAGATGGGTAGCTACTGTTGAAGTTGGTTCTATGGAGGACATATTCACAAAGTTTTACTATATGGTATAGACGCCTTCCTCTACACCGACAAAGCTGAAAATGAACAAAAGGCAATGAAAGGAATAGATTTGCCATCCCTATTGATTTATGTACCGAAAAAGTAAATTAGACTCTTTGCATATAAGTACCTTTAGTACAAGAAGTGTTTTAAAAGGCATTAGCAAACTTTTTTCTTCAGTGCTTTATGGTATTATATTACTGCTACTCTGTCACACTATAATTAACATCTTGTCAGACTTTCTATTCTAAACCAAGATAAGCATCATGAATATCTTGACTTTCAAAATTTCAAAAAGTTTCTATTCAAGGTGTCAGACATAGTTAAGTCATGGTTAAGTTGGAGGTGTTATCATGGCAGGTCATGGGAGGACACAGGGCTTTTATTTAGTGTTGCTTTGTTTTAGTACTATTTTATTAAGCTCTTTTTTATTACAAGGTAACAATATGTTAAAAATCTGAAGATTAGGTTGTATTTATTATGTTTCTATCAACTATGTTCATGAAAACTAAGGTCATATTTATTAATTGCCCTGTAGTTAATTGTAAAATTATCTAGCAATCAAGTTGTAGATTATTACTGTATGTATATGTACATATGTATATTTACATGTGTTCATTGGTCTTACCTAACCAAATGTGGTCAGATGTTTGCCTGGCAGAGTACATATCATAGGAATATGAAAATAAACAAGAAGGCAGATAAAATGGTTTTCCAGGTCCAGGGCAAAGAGCAGAAGCCCCAACTTTCTGGTCCATCCTTTACTCTTTGCCATTAGAACTCACTGAGAAATTTAAGTGATCCTTAGCATCAGACCAGGTTTTCAAAAGCTGTTGAGTCATAAAGGACCTCTTTAACTCTCTCCTGACAACATCCTTAGCAATAAAGTCTATCTAGTGCCTATGATGCTCCAGGCACAGTATCAATATCCCTTATGTAATATCCCAGTTAGTTATTATCTCCATCAGAGAGGTAAGTGACTTGGTCAGAGGAATGTATGTAGTAAGTGGTCAGCTAAGTTTTAAACCTTTATTGGATTTTTTAAAATTGTGGAAAGAACACTTGACATTAGATTTACCCTCTTCACAAATTTTTAAGTGCACACTACAGTACTGTTAACTCTAGGCACAATGTCACACAATAGATCTCTAGAGTTTATTCATATTGTATAACTGGAGCTTTATCCCTGTTGAACAGCAACTCCTGATTTCCCGCTCCCCTACCCTCTGGCAACCATGATTCTGTTCTGTTTCTATGAGTTTGACTGTTTTAAATACTTAATATATGCAAAATCATGCATCATTTGTCTTGTGCCTGGCTTATTTCACTTAGCATAGTGTCCTCCAGGTTCATTCATGTTGTTGCATATGTTAGGGTTTCCTTCTTTTTTAAGGATGAATAATATTCTATTGTATGTTTATATGACATTTTCTTTATTCATTTTTTGGTGGACACCAGGGTTATTTTCATATCTTGGCTATTGTGAATAATGTTGCAATGAACACGGGAGTGCAGACATCTCTTCTAGATCCTAGTTTCAGTCTTTTTAGATACATACCCAGAAGTGGGATTGCTGGATTTTAAAAGTAGTTCTATTTTTAATTTTTTGAGGGACCTCCATATTGTTTTCCATAGTGGCTGCACCATTTTATAGTCACATCAACAGTGTGCAAATGTCCCCAAATCTCTACATCTTTGCCAACACATGTTGTTTGTTTTGTTTTGTTTTGTTTTGCCTCATAATAGCGATCCTAACAGATATAGAGTAATATCTTGTGATTTGATTTACTTTTCCCCGATGATTATATCTGATTCTAAATCGTGTTTTACTCATGCTTTCATACTGCCTTCCTTTTAACCCACTTTCACATTTTCACATTTCCTCAAAATAGACATCACCAAGCATCTTCTTCTGTGCTTTGTCATGTTAACAGGATCACAGGAAACATAAAGACCTGGGAGCAGGTCCAGATAGCCACCCCCAAAAAGGACAAATCGCTCCCTCTCCCATTATCTTATGTTGGTGGTTAATATTATTTCCTTCGAATCAGCCCTTGATGTGTATATCTAACAATAGACATAAAATGAAAGAAAGCCACAATTCAAGTGACAGTTTCTATTATCAGGCTGTGCAAACAAAATGAAGAAACATTCATGCTGGACACTCTCCCTCCCTCTAGTGGTTAACTTAAGTCAAAGAAATTTGTGATAGTATTCACTTCCTTAATTTAGGCTAAAAAATACGTTGTCAAAAGTTTATTTTTTATGTTACATATCAAGTTGAACTTTGAACAACTTATAGAAAATGAATTTAATAATTCTGGAATTAAAAACTAGGACTCAGTCTGATGGATTGGGATTCTAGACATGGTGCTTTGATAGATTTGTGCTTTTGTTTGACCATGTGGGAGGTGGGAAAAATGATGTGGTATAAACTGACTCTAGTACTTTTTAGTATGAGATTTCAGCTCAGGACACATCATGTCATTCTTGAAATAGAGTGAATTATGAAATTTTAATCAAAACTTCCTTCAAGGTCTGTGTTAATTCTTATTCCTAAAAATTAATGATATAACTAAGAGGAGGTATAATCTTCTTTTTCTTTTGGTCTTTTAATATGAATGTTTTACTTGCTTTTCTTCTACTTCATATAGATCTCCTGATTACTAGCAAGATGATGTATGTGAGAGTAGGAGAATTATAGTATTTATTAGACCTTTAAGACTATCATTACCATTAATAAACTAGTTTTATAGAAAAGTTCCTTTTATATTTTTTATCTGCCAGAGTTTTTTTTTATTCAAGTACAATTAACGTACAGTGTAATATTAGTGTCAAATATAAAATATAATGATTCACCAGTTCTATACATTACTCAGAGCTTTTCATGATAAGCGTACTCTTAATTCCCTTCACTGGAAATTTGCTTTGAATATGAAATAAAGCTTTCTCTTTTAGATATGTTATATAGTTAATGGGGAACTGGACCTAGAATCACAAAAACCTACACTTGGTTCCTGGAAGTCCCTCTTGTTAGCAGGATGACATTGAGCAAATTACTTAAAATTAAACATCAGTTTCCTCTTAGTTGTGGAGATAATTACCATTGCAGGAGATTGCAGTGAGGACCAGACTTAATGGACATGAACCCACCTTTGCCCACCTTAAAGTGCTGTATTACTATATAATGTTATTACTTACTATATATTCCTACTTTGGAGTGAGATTTGAAATACATATACATTGTTTTTTTGCTTCATTTGAGTATATCTATTTTTAAAAACAGTAAATCGTGCTGTAAACACTGCCAATTAAACTTGTATTATTATTTATTAAACAGGTGCATTTCCAGATATATTTTCAAAAGCCTTTAAACTACTTTCAACATTTCCAAAGCAGATTTAATTAAAGGCAATTTATTTAGAGGCTACTAAGTGGGAAAGGGACACTTATGACAGATAAAAGCACAAGACATTTTAAAAAATAGATTTCTGTGAACTCTCAGGCTGGGAAGCTTTTGAGAAATTGTTATTGGTATCCGACTCGTGTCACAAAGTCATCTATAATGGGTGCTAAAGACCTTTAAAGGTAGTCGGTATGAAACTGAAGAGACAAATATTAGAAAATTTAATTCTAATAGAGAATATAATACATATATACATATAATACATATTCAGTAAATAAAAACTGTCATGTCTGTGTGTCAAGACACCGCAAAAAAATCAACTCCCTCAAATTTCCAATGAACATGATGCACCCATTGACTGTAGTGGGAGTTATGAAGTTGTGTGAGTTATGGATGCTGTTCATTTTGGTGATTCGAAGGCAGTGAGATCCAGGAGAAAGATCAATAGACTTGAGAAATCAGAATATTCAGCTTTGATTTCAGCTCAGCCACTTCCAAGCTGTGAGCTTGGTTAAAACTCCCTCGGGTATTCCTCACAAGATTATCCTGAGTGCCATGAAATCCTGTGTCACTGTCTTTGCCACAAAGCCCACAAGTGTCTCATAAGTATAAAGTGTGGCCTATTATCATTCCAGTATCCTGGCAGAGACTTCTAAAAACAAAGAAGCAAACACAAATCTCTATTACACAAATATCCTAAAAATTTGTGTTGGAGCCACACAAATTCTTCCTTACCTGTTCACCACTCCCAATGTGTCCATTTCTTCTTTTCCTCTCTGCCTTGCCGTTTCCCATAGGATTAGCCAGAGGGATGAAGCACTTTCTTAAAGGTGGAGGTTCATGCTTTCTTTTTCTTCTTTGGTTTCTCAAGCCAAGAAATTTGCAAGGCCACTGAAGTCTTCATGTGCCCTCTCTGTGACAAGAACTGTTCACTGCAGAGACTCAACGAAAGCTGTATCTACGCCAAGGTACGTGTGGACCCTCCTTCTTGAACTCTACTTTTTCGCAGAAGCAGATAGTAAAAAGTCCTCCAAACAAAGTTAAATATTCCCAAGAGTTTCAACAATTAATATCATTGACAACTGAATAGACCATCACTCTGCAGCAATTACAAAATGAGTGCATTTTTATTTGAATATTTTGGTCTTCCATTGTTTTTATAACTGATTACTGTCCTAAGAGACAAACTTCCACGTGGAATGACACCTAGATTCTTTTAAGGAGAAGATGATGGTTTCTATTACTAATGATTAAGTTTCTGTTTTCCACAAACACTCATTACAATACTTTTAATTTTACAGAGAAAAGGAAACAACATACTAAAATTCTCAAGTTGCTGCCTATTAGAATCACCTGAAGGGTTTTTTAAAACTTCTGAAGCCCAAGCCACACCCCTGAGCAACTAATTAAATCAGTACCTTTGGGTTTGGAACCTAGACATCAGTCTGTTTTAAAACTTCCCAAGTGATTCCAATGTGCATACACGTTTGAGAAACTGAATTTTACAATGATTACTATTTATCTTTAAAACAGTCTTATTGAAGCATAATTAACATAATATGCACACATTTATTTATTTTTTAATTATTTTTTATTATGTTATGTTAATCACCATACATTACATCATTAGTTTTTGATGCAGTGTTCTAGATTCATTGTTTGTGTATAACACCCAGTGCTCCATGCAGAACGTGCCCTCTTTAATACCCATCACCGGGCTAAA